TCTACAAACTCAGACAAGACATGACAAAAACTTCAACATGCGTCTAACACAATCTGAAAACTGTTCACTTACTGCGATGGCAACTGGCCATGTTAAAATGTCCCTGGCAAGGAAGAAAAGCATGTGGACATTGAAACCAATGGAAGGTAAATTATAAAGGATGACCAAGTAGAAAAAGCAGCAGCGGGGAGACAAAAGAGGGTACACCATCTTCTGCCCCAGGTAGCACGATCCCGGCAGGGCTTAGGCAGTCCCTCTCTGCCAGACTATTCCGCGCGCCCCCCCCCATAGGATTACTGTTCCCATACTTCCCTTTCAAAAATTCATTTTGGTTAATATTAACTTCTGTTTGATAAATAAAGGAGTAGTTCACCCTCTGAGACTCTGGCAGGTTTGTATTTTAATTTAAAGCTGCAAAATGCATCACTTGACAGAGTTTCAAAGCTCTGACCCAACCTTTACTGGAAATTTCAGTAGCAAAAACAATGAGGATTCTCCAGAGGAATCCCCTGCTTGTCTACATTACAGCAGACACTGTTAATAATCTGGCAAGTTTATGAATGTTTGTTTCACTTAAAAGGGGGAAAGTCCCAAATGATGGTAGTACTTGATCAGAAAGCATTTGCAGGGACTGAATAATATTCAAGAAACTGGCAGAAACAGTCTCTTCATATTTATTAGGTCCAGAATGTGATCCCCCCCCCCCTTTAAATTGCACAGCAAAAGCTGCATGGCCAATCCACTTGCCAAATGATTTTCCATGGGGAGACATTAGGACGACCAGTTGCACATTGCCAAATAAATACATACATACATACATACAGTGGTACCTCAGGTTAAGAACTTAATTCGTTCCGGAGGTCCGTTCTTAACCTGAAACTGTTCTTAACCTGAAGCACTACTTTAGCTAATGGGGCCTCCTGCTGCTGCCGCGCCACCGGAGCATGATTTCTGTTCTCATCCTGAAGCAAAGTTCTTAACCCAAGGTATTATTTATGGGTTAGCAGAGTCTGTAACCTGAAGCATATGTAACCCGAGGTACCACTGTAAATACACCCCCCCCAAAAAAGAGGGCACATATTTGCTTAATATTTGCTTCTCATTTATATGTATAGATGCAAATTTAAAAATAATTACTATAATTTAAATAAAAACTACAGTGGATGAAGCTGTGATCGGGTTACCCATTCTAGGTGCTAACGTCTGGTGGACAACTTCAGAGCCCCTCCCTTCTCATTGCTTGTTTGTCTTTAAACCAGACTTGGACCAGGGAGCCTTGTAAATAGAACAACACCTTCAAATAGAGGGCTGTAACTTAGAAGGACCACACAACCACCCTAGGCTATGCAGTAGCAAAATGAAGGCAGGTGTATAACTACTAAGTTACAAAAGTACAAAATGTAAGTTCAAAAATGGTTTCGGAGCTGAAGGGCATAGACAGGCACATGTGGTCAGCCTGCAAGAATGTAGCACTACCGCTTCCTGCCGGGGCAGACAAAGAAAACGGTATCACAGAGTTCTCTTTAGAAAATATGTGAGCCTCAGCCCCTTCGTGTGCCCATCTGGCAAAACATGAATTGTTGGTTTATCTCACATTTTGGCCCCCTGGTGGCTACACTATAGGGTGCCACAGGGGACTGTCTTCGCCCAGGGGCTATTTAATATCAATATGAAGCCATTGGGAGCAGTCATTAGGAGTTTCAGGATAAGGTACCATCAGTATGCTAATGACACTCAACTCTGTACCTGTCAATCAGGAGAGGCCGTGTAGTCCCTGACCCCATTTCTTGGACACAGTGGTGAAATGGATGAAGAAAAACAAGCTGAACTTGAATCCTGGAAAGATGAAGGCACTGTGAATAAGTAGCTCCAAGGCCTGGGAATTTGATCAGTTTCCTACCTTGGATGGAGTTTCACAGTTTCAAGGTGCTTCTGGATCCAGCTCTGTCACTGCAGGCTCAGAAGTAGAGTTGCCATACGTTCGAAATTTCTCGGACATACCCAGAATACTGTATCCAAATCAGTGTCCGGGCAAAAATCGGCTAAATATCCTGGAAAATCCGGACATATCGCAACCGATGCCAGCAGTGTCATTTTTGCTCATTTTCATTTTTAAAAAGCTTTTAAAAGCCAATTTCTTTGTGATTTTGCAAAAATAGCTCAACAACATTGGGGGGGGGGAGCCTCAACAACTTTGCCTCCCTGCAAAAATAAAACTCAACAACTTTGCCCATAAGGCTCAACAAGCTTTTCTGTATAGATTTTCACTTTTTGAAATATGGCAACCCTACTTAGTAGCTTCAGTGGCCAGAAGTAGCCTTTTACCAACTGCAATCATTCCTGAACCTAGCTGCAGTAGTTAAGGCACTGGTTATTTCCCAGACTGGATTACTGCAGTATGTGGGGCTTCCCTCGCACTTGAGCCAGAAGCAGAACCCACACTTTGGAACTCTCTGCCTATTGATAGCAGGCAGGCACCTTGACTGTGCTCTTCTCGGCACATGCTCAAGAGTGTTTGTTTAGGCAAGGCTATCCGGATGCTTAGAATGGTGAGGTCATTTTAATAATAATAATAATAATAATAATAATAATAATAATAATAAATTTATTTCTACCCTGCCCATCTGGGCGGCTTTCAACAGAACATTAAAAACAAAATAGAACTTCAAACATTGAAAACTTCCCAAGTGAAAAAGGATTTAGAAATTTGGTCAAATTTGAAGCTTTCACTGTTAGGCCGTATTGCTGCGATAAAAACAAATGTATTGCCTAGAATGTTGTTTTTGTTTCAAACATTGCAAATTGTGGACAAAATGGACTGTTTCAAGAAGTGGCAGAGAGATATTTCTAGATTTGTCTGGCAGGGCAAGAAGCCTAGAATAAAATTTAAAATACTAACAGATGTAAAGGAAAGAGGTGGATTTGCCCTGCCAGACTTTAAACTTTACTATGAATCAGCAGCTTTTTGCTGGTTGAAAGAATGGCTGCTTCTTGAAACGCAGACATTTTGGATTTAGAAGGTTTTAACAACGTATTTGGATGGCATGCATATTTGTGGTATGATAAGGTCAAAGCGCATAAAGCATTTAAAAACCATATTGTCAGGAAAGCACTGTTTAATGTCTGGATAAGATATAAGGACTTATTGGAAAATAAAACTCCAAGGTGGCTGTCACCGATGGAAGCGAAAGCTCAGAAAAAACTCAATATGGAGGTCAAATGGCCGAAATATTGGGAAATTTTGGAACAAGATGGAGATAGACTGAAATTGCAGAGTTTTGAAAAACTAAAAAACAAAGTGCGAGACTGGCTTCATTATTATCAGATAATGGAGGCATATAATTTGGACAAGAAAATCGGCTTCCAGGTGGAAAAATCAAAATTAGAAACAGAATTGTTAGAACCCAAAACTAAGATTTTGTCAAAGATGTATAACTTGCTGTTGAAATGGAATACTCAGGATGAAACGGTGAAATCTGCTATGATTAAATGGGCACAGGATGTTGGACATAACATAATGATGGCTGACTGGGAACAGTTATGGACCACAGGTTTGAAGTTTACGGCATGCAATGCCTTAAGAGAGAATATTATGAAAATGATATACAGGTGGTACATGACCCCAGTCAAGCTTGCAAAAATCTACCATTTGCCCGATAATAAATGTTGGAAATGTAAGGAAACTGAAGGTACATTCTTTCACCTATGGTGGACGTGCCCAAGGATTAAGGCTTTCTGGGAGATGATTTATAATGAATTAAAAAAAGGTATTTAAATATACCTTCTTGAAGAAACCAGAGGCCTTTCTCCTGGGCATAGTCGGCCAATCGGTGTTAAAGAAGGACAGAACTTTCTTTATGTATGCTACAACAGCAGCAAGAATACTTATTGCAAAGTATTGGAAGACACAAGACCTACCCACTCTGGAAGAATGGCAGATGAAAATGATGGACTACATGGAATTGGCGGAAATGACTGGCAGAATCCGAGACCAGGGAGAAGAGTCGGTGGAAGAAGATTGGAAGAAATTTAAAGACTATTTACAGAAATACTGCAAAATTAATGAATGTTAGAATGATGTTGGATTGAAGTTAAGTGGTTTCTAGCTGTAATGGTATAAAAGAATATGAAAAAATTGGATTCTTAACAGGTAAAAATTTAATGCTATAATATATTAAGATTAAAGATCAGGATAAAATAAGGAGGGAAAGGAATTGCTGAACTAATAAATTGAACTGGAATACAAAAAAGGGAGGTATGAGGAGGTCCGGGAAACAAGTAAATGAAAGATAAGTGACGAAAAGATGGAATTGTTTTTAACTATTTTTTATTTTTCCTTTTTTCGTTTTCATTTTGTAATATTGTGAAAACTTTAATAAATATTTATAATTTTAAAAAAAAAAAAACATTGAAAACTTCCCTAAACAGGGCTGCCTTCAGATGTCTTCTAAAAGCCGGATAGTTATTTATTTCCTTGATATCTGATGGGAGGGCGTTCCATAGGGTGGGCGCAAATACCGAGAAGGCGCTCTGCCTGGTTTTAGTAATCTGTTTTAGTTTTTTTCTTTCTTTATTTGGTTATTTTATCTTTTTGTAAACCACTTTCAGGGGAGATTATACACACACACACACACACACACACACACACCAGACAGTGAATAAACTTTATTAAATAAATATGCAAGTGGATTCTCACTTGCCTGTTTTGGATAAAGAAGAAAGAGTTCTGCAGCACCTTTCTGTCCAAAATGCAATCCTCTATTTAATCTATGCATGTTCAATGTTCCCTTAACAAGTATAGATAAAATAGATGGACATCCGGAGCCTTTCAGGAACAGGGCTATAAATCTGAACAAGGAAATGAACGTATATTACAAGATGCAGGCTTCAGCAGTGCTAATTCCCTGTTTTAATTTTTTAGGAGTGTAAGGGTGGTGATCTTCAAGAACTAGGAAATCTACAGAGATCTTTTCCTATAGGTTCAAATGTGTTCTTGAGGCACCGTGTGTGTGTGTGTGTGTGTGTGTGTGTGTGCGCACACACACACACACACACACCACACACACACGGTGCCTGCCTTCTGTACCACACAGTGCCTGCCCACCACTCAGCTTGATTAGCACAATAAATCAGAAATCCTGTTTGGCACCAACTGCCCTTCCATTACTGCACTTGCTCTGTTTAACATCTTGAGGACCATCCAATTTATCAGAGTCGCATGCATGGGATTTTTAATCCTTTGATTCTCCCCCGTTAACTTTGTTGTGAATATTCTACCTCACATCTTTGCTGGCAGAGGAACTAGATAAAGATAAATAATTTCAGAGAGTCCTTGGGACAAAGCTCCCAAATACCCCAACCCCACTCCTCTTTTTTATTTTTGAAGAGGGGGGGCGAGGATGGGGGGGAAGGGGGTTAGGGGCTGGGCAAGCTCTCCATTTCACACAGCCTTAGTTCAAACACTGACACGACAGCCTGACATCCAAGGAAAATTGCCGCAGTATAACTGAGCTCTGTGATGCTCTCCGGAGCCATTAGGAAGATAACCATCTTTAAAAATAATATTTGTTAACTAGATGAATAGCCTATCCGTTATGGCAAGACTTTCTGTCACTGATATGCCTGTCAATGCTAATTTCTATGCCAAAAAAGAAAAGCAAAACAAAAGTGAATGAGAATTGAATTTCATGTAATTGTTACACAGATGTGGCAAGGTTGGAACGATGAGGAGAAATGGGAACTTTTCTGAATTAGGCAAAAGAGACAAACTTCCTTTCTGGGGCACTATCTGTTTCAATATCACTCAGTGATTCACAGATACTTTGCTAAATTCTCACTGAAAGTTCATGAGAATGGCTAGCCAAACTGACTGGCTGATTTACAGATGTATTTATATACCACCTTCTCTTGAAATACCAGAGTGGTGTGCAGAAATATGAAAACGTTAATGGGTCCTGTACAGAACAATCACTAAACTCACTGCCTGCTAAATAATTTTGTGAAGCTCACAGGCCTGCCAATGTAAAAAAGGCTTCAAAAGACATTTGAAAACCTTAAGCAAAGATGTGTGCCAAATCTCTTCTGGAATCATGTTCTACAAAATAAATTGGCAATGCTAAAAGCCCAACTCCTGATTGAGGTCAGTCAGGCCCCAATACTACAGGGACAACTTACAACCAGTGGCGAAGCTTCATGCTCTGGCACTGGGGGGGGCAGAAAGCAGGCGGGGGCGGGGCTGGAGCGCATCCTGGGGGCAGGGCGCGCCATCCACAGGGGCGTGGCGTGCATCCTGTGGGGGCAGCATGCTGCCTGAGCGGGTGGGGGGGCAGCCCACCGTGATCGTGCTGCCGGGGAAGGTGCGCTCCCCCCGCACTCCTCTTCTCCTGCCAGTGCTACAACAGCTCCTTCAGATGATCTTAGCGATCAAGCTGGAACGTAAGGGGTCCAGGATATCCTTAAGATGTCCTGCACCTAAGTTGTTCAGCACTTTGTATAGCTAGACAAGAGCCTGAAAGAATTTTGACTTATGCCCCCATTAGATTTACCACTAGACATGTGCTTAGGGCCTCGAATTTTTAATGGGCCCTAAAGTCTTTTATTTAAAAAAAAAAATTATACACAAACACACCACACTCACGCCATACTTTTAAACCACTGTACCACTTTAAACAGTCCCAGCTTCCCCCAAAGCATTCCGGGAGTTGTAGTTTGTTCATTGTGCTGCTGAGATTTGTTAAAAGCTCTGTTCTTCTTTGCAGTTGCGTGTCGAGGTCCCCAGGGCCACCCCAATAACTCACACATCACACAGAATTTTTGTTTAAGATTTTTGGCATAATTTTGGCCACAACTTTATTGAAATACAAATTTGTGAGTGGTTGCTTAGGCATTGGTTGCGACTATCTGCCCCCACCATGGGGGACAGACTGACATTCCGCACGATGCGAAAGTCAGAATAGGAGAATACACTTGGGGGTTACGCGGAGCAGGGAACCTGCCCTCACCCCAAATGCAACCAGGAGCTCATTGCTATGGCCCGAGCCCCCTTGACAGAGTGGACAAGCAATAGTTAGCCCCCAATTCCTTTAACGGAATCCCTCGCAGCAGCAGCATTAGAGGGGCAGGCACTCAACCTACCAAGGGCAGGCACTCAACCACTTCCCCTCAACCAACCAAACCATAAACCAGTGCCTAACCGCAACCTTACAAGTTGTGACGATTTGCTACGCAGTAAGCAAAAACCAAATGGCACCAGCCAATCAGCCAGATGGACAAAATTCCTACCAGGCCCCTGCCCCAAGAGCAGATGACCCCATGACGGGCATAGAAAGGTCAAAGCGAACAACCCTAATTCTAGGGAGGGGGGGACGGGCAATCCGATGCACGGGCGAAAAGAGGAAGCCCTAGCCTCGTGCAAGGAGTTTTAGCATTTCTGGCTGTCAATCAACAAATGGCAACATTAACTTCTTCCCAACAACAAGGGAAGCCCCAATCGCATCAGTGGCCAACGAACAATTAGCCCGCCCCCAACTTTGGAGTGTCCTGGCGGCCCCCACCGCAACACGTGCTCTCCATGAAGGAGAACACGCTTTCCCGAGTGATTTAACAATCAATCCCTCCCCTCAGGAAACTGAGAATTGTGGCTCTGGGAGGATGAATGGGGCCTCCTAACAACTCTCAGCACCCTTAAACCACAGCTCCTAGAATTTTTTGGGGGGGGAGCCATGGACTGTTCAAAGTACATGGGACAGGGATCCCTCCATTGGGGGTGCCTGGCTTGTACGCCCTATAAATTGTGTGCCATGGGCTACAGCCCCCCTGTCTCCCCCCTATGCTACACACCTGCTTTGCTTTATTCAGAAGATGCAGCTATCAAGAGCAAACCAACCATCACCATAACAAAGGATTACCTGAAAACTCCAGGCTGGAGCTTCATCATTCAGGTGGTTTGCAGAATGGTTGCAGAACTGCTGAGAGTATACCGTATTTTTCCATGTATAAGACTAGGGGGTTTTTTTACCAAAATTTTAGTTTTAAAATTGGGGCTCGTCTTATACACAGGTAGTGCTGAGTGGTGTTTCTTAATTTGGAGTCCCCCAAAATGGAGTCTTATACATGAGGGTGTCTTATACACGGAAAATTACAGTATGTGTTTCCCCCCAGCAGCGGATCTATCTAGTTTTCTGTCAGCAGAGATCAAGGCCGTTTTGAGAACCATCTTCTGTCCACTAAGCTCAGATAAAACATTGATTTGGGAGAATCCTGGAGTTCCTCACAGGTGCATCAAGGGTTCTTCCATGAGGAGACAAGTGATGGGACTTCCCTGTAAGACAACAACCCTTTCACTGCCTTTTGTCCCATGAAATATACAGCTGCAGAAGAGTGTTGGACCTTGTTCAAAGCACATATTCTCAGTGAGGCCCAACTGGCCTAGTCAATGCCGTACTACGACAATGCCCTACAAACTTCAGGTTCATCCACACTTCCATTTCTCCCATGATTTCTAGGCATGAGTCTGGGGGTTTTTGTTTTGTAATATCGCTTTCCCTGGGAAAACCCACTGTTTACCACTGAATCAGAACAAATGTAAGTCTGCAGAAAACCCAACTGAAGTTCATTCTGATTCAGCAGTAAACATGGGAAAGTGGTGGTACAAAAAGAAAGCCCCCTCAGACCCATGCCTGGAAATCATGGGACCAACGGGAGTGTAGATGAGCCCTGACTGCCCACCCTGGAAGGCACCCCAGAGCCAAATGTTTGAAAACCAATGAGGAAAAATGTTACCTTTTCAAAGTTCATCTTAAGAGAGAGAGAGAGAGAGAGAGAGATTTTCAAAGTACAGTCATACCTCAGGTTGAACGTGCTTCAGGTTGAGCGCTTTCGGGTTGCGCTCTGCAGCAACCCGGAAGTAATGGAGCACGTTACTTCCGGGTTTCATTGCTCGCGCATGCGCAGACGCTCAAAATGACGTCACGCGCATGCGCAGAATTGACAAAATGCGACCTGCGCACGTGCAGACGTGCCATCACATCTTATGTTCCATTCAGGATGCAAACGGGGCTCTGGAACAGATCCCGTTCGCATCCCGAGGTACCACTGTATAATGTTATGTCTGAGATATTCAGGGCAAATCCACAACATACACTTCAAGAATATTCAACGTACTGTTAAAACACATGACTTCCCCCAGAGAATCCTGGGAAGTGTCATTTAAAAGTGCTCTGTAGCTCTGTGGGGGTGGGGGAACTACAGTTCACAGGATTCTTTGAAGTCACATGATTTAAATGTGTATGGAATAGCATCCATCAATCTTGGGAGACAATGGAAGAGTGGTCCTACAAGGGTAAAGTCAAATCATTGGAAGAGTTACAGTGCTTGCTGTACGGGAGAGACATGTTTCATTGCTTTTAGTATATGGTGTAGATCCACCCAAAACCTTAGCTTGCCATATAAATTTGTTTCAATTTCTGCCCACTTGCCTCATCCTTTTCTTGGGAGTAACTCAAGTGAAATCAATGGACCTGTTTCTGAATAAGTCACATTGAGCAAGTGCAGCCTTGCTTCTTCAATCATTTGTCACCACCGCAAATAAGAATTCCTTTGCCACTCCAGCAGCCACCTGCTCTGGGTACATATATATACACTCCCCCTTGATAATGGTAAGACCTTCTGGCTTTCCAATAAATAGTTTATTGACCTGTGTAATGAATTCTAGAGCCGAATACGAGGTTACTAAATGAAAAAAAGAAAGTGGCCGTCTAGCCACATTATGTCAGAGGGAGTAACAGAAAAACTGAATTATTTTGTTCCTATAAATACAGTTTAGCATTTTCTTTCAGGTTAGCTTCCCAATGACTAGCAAGGTTAGACAGACCCAACAAGACAATTCTATGGTAACAGCAAAAATATCATGCCTTTTCAAGACTCCCCATGAAAGAAAAAGAAAAAGCTGTCTGGTATTTGCCACAGAGACATTTAAAGTGTTGTTTTCTACTGGAGGTATCTGACGTACTGCTAAGACATATAAAATGCTTGGTACTCTTTAAGATTTGCCCTGCTTTGGCATATTTGCAC